ACGAGCCTGACGTATCTGTAACTGGTAGTCATCCTTACAATGGGAATCTTCTTCATAACGTATCTATATGTCATGGCTTATCTTAGTCTGGTTCCCAGATCAACAATTCTGACTATTCCTGATGAATCTTAGGTCAGCTCAGGTAGCCGCTAGTATCTATACACTCAAACTCGTCCCCAGGGTGTCGAGCAGTACGCGCCCACCACTACCTGATCTCTCACCCTGGTATTGGATCATTTGCATGTGCAAGATTTTTGAACACGTATGCAAATGAGAACAGTCTGGTTCCTAGATATGCGTTACACATTAGCGTTTGGTTTTGTATGCGGTGTCTGGGGTAAAAACAGAGTCAATTCGTAGCAGCGCGAGCACGGCGTGAGTTACGAAAACACGATTTTTGAAATCAAACTGTTACGATCTTATCGAGACAACATGCAGTATCATATTTCATATTAATATGAGCAAATTGGAAAGGAAATTAGTATTTTCGAGAAGGCGTGGACGAATGATCGCGAAAACACGTACTGCACGTTGTGAATAATATAACAGATCCGTTGATTATGACAATTTGGAAGATAATCGATGATTTTCCAAACTTATTTTAAATAAGTGTTTATTAAAAGAAAGATTATTCTGACCCTCACCTGACTCTTTTCAATTATCCTCTGTATAATTACTACACGCGCTATTTTTCAACCCTCAACCCTCAACCTTCAACATCAACATCAACATCAACAATCAACATCAACATCAACAATCAACAATCAACATCATCAATCAACAATTAATATCAACAATTATCATAAACCATCAACATCAATACTCATTAATCGCCATCAACAATCAATTATAAACAATCCACAACCCACATCAACAATCAACATCAATAATCAACAATCAAAAACATCAGCATCAGCAATCAACAATCAACATCAACCATCACCATTAACTAATCAACAATCAACAATCAACATTAACTCAACACCAATAATCAAAAATCCAATCAACAACCAACATTAACAATCAACATCAACAAACACCATCGACAAGAACATCAAGATCAACATCAACATCAAAAATCCAACCAATAACCAACATTAACAATCAACATCAAAAAACAACATCGAAAATCAACATCAAGAATTATCATCAACAATCAACATCAACAAACAACTTCAACAATCAGTTTCAAGAATCATCATCAAAAATCGACATCAATAATCAACATCAACAATCGACAATCAACAATGCGAAAGAGCCATATATTCTGTTAATTAAAAAGACATAAACCTCTGGTTTTTTCCTTTTTCTTTTTCTCTCTCTCTCTTTAGCTTGGGGGGGGGGGGGGTAAGCACCCCCGCCCTCCCCCTCGCTCGCGACGCCCACGTACACAGCCAAAATCCACAACTTAATAATTAACTACATCAATCAGTCAGAATATCGTCTCACGGCTAAATGAGTCCCGAATCGATTATGATCCTCACATCAGGCAATCACTTCGTGGATCCATTATTCCGTAAACTTCCCAAACAAAAGCTAAGTAGCGGTTACAGTCAGGCGCGGTTCGTTCTACAAAAAGGCATATTAAAAAATCCAATAAGCTTCAACTGCTAGGCAAAATATTTACCATCTCATCTCATCAAAGCTTCAGTTCTAATTTTTTCTCTGTCATTCCTGATTAAGCCTTTTGAGATGTAGAACGATGTTATAAAAGCGCACGCTGCTGTACGTGTTGGCCAATCACAGTTCATATTCGCGAGATACACCTGCCTAGCGCATACGTCCGAAGTTAGTCATTGCGTCAAGCAGTTGTACCAAAGTATCACGCCGCCGGTACGGGAGGCACTTCGTTTTTCCTCTTTTTTTCTGAAGTAGGTGAGATTTCTTTGCGCTTTTGAAAGCAGTAGGCCTAACAGGTTTTTTTTGCAAATTTCGGTGGTTTTGTGACTGAAATTTTCTGACGGAAGACCTATTATGGCGGAAGAAGTGATCGTAAATGTGTCTGCGCCATACGTGAGCGATGACCCAGTCCATCCGGCCTTGTTAGCCGGCTACATCTTCGTGATTTTCATCGCAGCAGCAACAAGTCTGGTCTACGTGTGGTTCATAGCTACAGTCGCTATGGAACACATCCTCCATAATGTGTCCAACTATTTCATGGCCAGTCTTTGTGTGTCCCTGATCGTCATAGGAATTTTGACTTTATGGTGGGCTGTGATCCTGATGTCAAATTTCAAACACTCCGCGCTCAAACTCGCAATAGCATCAAGTGCTTTCTTTGTTGGAGTTTTTGGCTACTTCTTGAATTCGGTGGTCATAGCGGCTGACCGGTACCTGAAGATCTCCCGGCCCCTGCAGTATCTCCGGCTAGCGACGCCCAGGCGTTGCACCGTGCTGATCGGTGCGTCGTGGTGCCTGCCTCTGGTCCTCGGTCTTGCCGCGTTCCTCTTCGCCATGTTGAATTTGGACACCGACAGCCAAGAGTCACTCAGCACTTTCCTGCAGAGCGAAGGTTTTCGAATCCCACTGGTCGTCATGTCGGATCTGACCATCTTCCCCAGTATGATCGCGGTAACCTTTCTGATAGCTGCCCTCGTGCGCATCGCTAGGCAACAGCGGCGCAAGATACGGGATGAAATGCTGATGCTAAAACATCTTCAAGATCGTGCGCAGCAGACGGAGCAGGAAGGCAACGATGAGAACGCGCCGCAGCCTCGACCGAACCACTCGGCCAACAAAACCACCGTGTACTTCATCGTACACTTCTCCGCATTCGTCGTGGCTTGGCTACCGGCTAGTGTATCAATGAACTTTGTAGATCTCAGTGACCTGACTTCAGCCGTTCTCAACCCTCTCATAACCGCCAATGCCATTATTGCCATGTTTCACACCTTCTGCGGCACCATGTTCCTGGCCTATGCGCAGCCGGAGCACCGACAGGCAGCTAGGAATAACTTGAAGAGGGTTAAACGACTCATTTGTGATCATTAAAGCGAAAAGTCAAGTCATTCTAGACTTCTCAGCTTATTATGTGAGGACTTACTGACACAAAGTGCCATATCAAGGAGAGAAACATAAGAAAAACTCTCTTTCCGTTGCGACATTGAATTGGGACTCATTTTGAGCACAGCCAGGCCTTTACTATTATACAATAGCTTTCTGCTATCTGTGAATCGTTACAGATGGTTTTATTAGTTACCGATTCAATTGAATCCTTATGTAGAATTCTTCTGTAGAACTCGTGAAGTTTCGCGCGTTTTCCGCGAACTGTTTCTTTTCAAGAATTCATTCTCCTTTAGTAGCTACTGGTTGTTCATGTTATAATAAATCAAAATAATATTTGCAAAAACAAACATTTTTTTTGTTCTGATGTCACCTTACAATTTAAAAAAATTACATACGATTTCTTTTATGAAGTTATGATTCCTGTCGATGGTTGTAGCAATTACTGTAGAAGCACATCCTGGAGGAAATAAAAGTAAATGGCAATATCATTTCTGCAGCACCTTAAAATAATAGCTCAAAAAAGTATAGGGCCACGATTGTGCTTGCCTAGGAAGGAGGCGACGACCTTTTTATTGTGAGCCACAAGTACCTTGCGCCCATGGGCATCGCCAGGATTTTTTCTAGAGGGGGTAAAGCACATTTCCCTCCGAAATAAAAAAATTACATACGATTTCTTTTATGAAGTTATGATTCCTGTCGATGGTTGTAGCAATTACTGTAGAAGCACATCCTGGAGGAAATAAAAGTAAATGGCAATATCATTTCTGCAGCACCTTAAAATAATAGCTCAAAAAAGTATAGGGCCACGATTGTGCTTGCCTAGGAAGGAGGCGACGACCTTTTTATTGTGAGCCACAAGTACCTTGCGCCCATGGGCATCGCCAGGATTTTTTCTAGAGGGGGTAAAGCACATTTCCCTCCGAAATACCTGCACTTATGCAGCGAATTCTCGAATTATCATTTTTCAAGGGGGTGGGGGCAGGGACGTTCCCTCTTACCCATTAGATTAACCGCAATATGACTCCGCGGGGGGGGGGGGGCACTTGCCCCTGCCCCCTTGCGACGTCCATGCTTGCGCCAACGCTAGCAGGTGGTTTGGTTTAGAATCCTCCTTGAGGACTAGCTAATTTCATTGAAAATGTAATTTAATTTGAATAACAAGCTTACACTCTTGTTGTGAGATCAACGTAATTCTACATTGATATTTGACTAAGAACAGTCCGGAAATTTCTGCTTGTGAGTCATAAAGAGACTCATATAGCAACACCAAATGATTCGTTTTTGTAGCGTTGAGAATTGCTTTCATGTTATATCGCAACCAATAATCATCTCATTGATAAGGCCCCCCCCCAAAAAGTCTCCGGTTTCTGATATGGAGCTTGCCCAAAAAATGGTGCGGCGACGCGGCTTTTTTTTTTTTTACCTGATTGTTTTGCTTCAAATGTCGGCTGATGACTGCAAATGGTGCCCGACTAAACTTAGTGCAAATATGGGAGTCCAGAGAGGCCACATAAAGCTTATTCTCGACCATAACCCAATCTAAAAACACGTTAAAATTGTGCAGCAGCAGGATTCCAGTCAAACCAGTGAGTTTGGCGGTTTGAGACATCATCTTTCATTGAAAAAAAAAACGTTTTCATTTTGCCGACGCGCATGGCTACGGCGACGCGCGCGCACACCAGAAACCGGAGACTTTTTTTATTTTGGCCTAAGCGCACATCACCAAATAAATAGTTATACCTGTACATTTCAAGGAACACTTGGAATGTTATTTTAGCACTTTTCCTCAGACAATGAAGACTAATGCATCAGACGATGCACTGAATAGTTTGATGACCTTTTCCCTACCAATGTTGGCTGTTTCGTATAGCGTCAAAGCCGATATACATGACAGGTTATTTATACACGACAAGTTATTACGGGTCGAAAAGGACACATGCTGCAGAAAGACCAACGATTGGCAATAAATTTACAGGCAAACTTTGCGGCAAACCTCCAGTATCATGGTCGTTCCCACGCACACTTTTATCACAATTTGCAGACTGCGGCCAGTATTTCAGGGTTCAGGCAAAGAACCCACTTGCCCAAAAAAGGAGTCCTCGCGTTGCTCTCAAAAATGTTTAGTAAGTCCAAAGGAGAGAATTCCTCCTTCGTGATATAAGTGTTACAGTTCGTCTCCGCTCGAACAAGTGTCAGTCTTTGCCCTGAAAACACTAAACAGTTCACTGAGGAGATCCGTCTTGCTAGCGACTCTCTGGGGCAGCGAGAGTTCCACGGAGGCTTTGGTTTGCTCCTCCTCGCTTAGAGTCCGCTGGACATTCCTGAGGAATTGCGTCTGGCGCTCATACGAGTCGTCCACCCAGATCCAATTGTTGGCGATCCATTTGGTGCCTTGTAGGACCTCACAGCCACCGTGGAGGGAGAACAGGTTCAGGTCTCCCAGCCAACCTGAGATAGTAGGGGAACAAATCAGTGTTATTCTGGTTTGTGGGAAATGAATCCGTAGTATTTGTTGAAGACGTTCAAAATCCACAAGAGGGCGCTGACACAAGGTCGCAACCACCGCACGCTATATATAGAGCCAGGCGATTGACAAAATGTATCTTCCGCAGTGGTTATTGATAGCGCCCTCTTGTGGCAGTTTGTTCTGACGTAACCGGCTCCAAGGCTAGTCTGGTTCACTGTCCCTACGGGGACAGCAGTGAATCCAAAATGCATTAGCATGTTTTCCTCCTAATGTATGCAAATTATATGCATGACGTGCATCGGTCTGAATCCCGCCTCTTGATATGAATTCAAAATCACCACGGAATGTTTATGTGCAACCAGCCTATTGCAAAATAGCAATAGGCCACGAATGTGCAGTTTCTGAGGTGATGATGAGCTTCGATTTTTGTTAAATTCGAAAGTGTCTCTGGCAAATTATCATTAAAGAGAGGGGCAATACTGTTCAGTATTCAAAACCTATGCAGGTAAAATGCTTGAAAGTTGCCTTTCAAAGTCGCAATTTTGCGTACTTCTGTGGTAAGATATATATTTTTTTATATTTCCATTTTAAAAAGTTTCGTCCATGCACAAAGCTGAATAGTGATTCAAAAATATACAATCGTGCTACGCGCGCGCAGAGGTAATCGAATCAATGGCTTTAAATATGAGTTAGCTACGAGGTCCCCATATTTTTAGGGGGGGGGGGCGGCGGGAAACAGTCTATTCCAAGGCTTTATAAGGGGATTCTAAATATTAATTCAGTTGATGTTTAGGTTTGGTAGGCGCCAGTGTCATGTGAACAAAGAGGGCATGTTTCTGCCCAGTTTCAGCTGTATACCCGTTGTGCAGCAAGTGTGTATACTCCGAGAGGAGTACCTGATGACTAACAATCTGCAACATTTTTGCGGATCAAAACTCGAACCAAGATAATCTGCCTGGATAATAATTTGATCTTCTAGTAGTTACGATTTCTAACAAAAAAGGGAGAAAAATACGGGAATAAAAAAAGGAACTGCGAGTTGAAGGATTGCAGACCACGCTACCTGTTGTCTCGTTAATGTAGTGGTTGTACCACATAATAGCTTTGCCTTTCTCTGGTTTGATGTACAAGTTGGCGTCATGGCAGTGGTCACTCAAGTCATAGATCTCCGTCTTTGTTGCCTACAAATAAAGTATGGAAGAAAGACCTTTTAAAAGAAAAAAATACACACGCACAACCGTTCACGTTTGTTTATGGCGTAAATCAAGGATTTTCTTTTGTTCCTCTTCCCTTTTCCTTTGTTTGTCCTCTAATTTTTTTTCGCAACAGCTCTCATTAGTTGTGTTCACGTTTTCTAATCGAGGTTGTCCTCGATTTGGTTCGTGTCCTCGATTCACCGATGATGTTGCATGTGTGTGTCCTCGATTTACACCATAAACAAACGCAAGTCGTGTTTTACTATACACTTTTAAAACAGCTTGGTTAACATAGTCATGAGGACCTGCCCCTTTCCTCCTTTTGTTCCCTTTTGTTAAGTTTGTTTGTAACTTTTTCTGGACAGCTCCCATAAGGTTTGTACACGACGTTTTCCCGAGGACTAGTGCCCAGGCCCTCGGGCCCATTGTTATTGCCGGCATTGTCCCATTGTCCCAAGTCCTCAATCTGAATAACCAACCCACATCTTTGTAAACACCGGCAATCAGTGGACCCCATATTGTCTCTAATCCTCATTCCCTTGTTTGTACTCCAACTTTTTAGCAACAGCTCTCATTGGTTTTGTACACGAATTTCAATCGTGGACGTTCGGCCAATCGAGGACGTATTGTTTGTGCCCTAACCCTTTTTTTCCGGGTCCACGATTACCGGTGCTTACATACTCACACAATGTAGGCCGTCACTTTTTGTACACTTGTCACATTTTCGCTTAATGTTTGAATGAAGTCTTTCAGAATGAAGTCTTTTGCTGTGAAGGACATTCACGATGTTTTCTTTTGGCCTCCGTAATTACCAACAATCATCAACAAACGAGCCTGTTTTTTTAGGGGGTGGGGAGGGGGGGGGGTTAGATATGAAGTGAATGATTCATAAATGTACGTTGCCTTACCCTGTCCGAATAAGTACCATTGTCCGCTATAGGGAAGGCAGTCTCGCCTCCGCTGACATCGTCATCAAGGTAGTAAAGTATGGTCATAAACCTAGACGAAAATTGGCAGTAATGTGTAATATAAATTCCAAAGTTTATAATCGATCTGCTTCACTCCAATCAACTTGTCTTTTTATCAGACGAACACTCTTCACTTTTTGTCGCAGTTTTGACGCAGGGAAAAAAATCTGTATCAGGCACGCATCGCACTTGATTCGTCTCTGCGAAAACAGCCACAATTTTGGTGCAAATTTAGAATACAACTTCCTTCCAACAATCCTTTGGATAAAAGGATAGTTGTCAAAAGCAAACCATTAAATTATAAAAAATAAACCTAGAGGATTGGCGTTTGTTTTTGAGAAAACAAGGGGGTGATTTGGCTCGAAACTACTGGGCAATACGTCCGGTTCAATGGTAAGAATATGTTTATAAACAAAAACAAAAAACCAGGAGAAGTACAAAATTCTAATTTCGGTTGAACTATTTATTTATTTGAACAAAGACATCCTTTTGAGATAAATAGATTTCATTTACATTTTATTTACTACACGCTACTTCTGGTTTGATGAAATCGTCAGTCAAAAATGTGCAAAATGAATGCTGCATTCGTTCGAGCGAAGTTAGAAAAACTACGGTAAAATAGTTCGCGCCCGAACTAGCTCAACTGCTTGGTTCTCTGGCGGTAAAGCAGTCGAGCGCCCTCATTTGTTTTTAACCCGACATACATATATACATACCGGCAGAATCGACCAGAAACTCCGTTCAACATACAATCCATCTCACCGTCCAACTCATTGGAATCGTAGTGGGCGTGGAAATGACCGCCAGGCTCGTAACGGACGACCTGATGAAAGGTTAAAGGTCAGTGTCAAAAAAAATACCATGCATTCTACAATTTCAGGGCTACACAATTAACATATACGTTTTCTGTAGCACTGTGAATTGCAAAAAAATGTACAAACCGTCCACATATAATTCTATTCTCATGATCATTTGGATACTTTGTTTGTGGTCATGCGTTCTTTCATCTCACTGAAGATTGTTTTAAGGAGATTTGGCAAACAAGGTATGTTGATATTTTGTACTTGTGTAACGTCAGACCAGTCCTACGCTATTTGGACAAGGTCCCTCCATTTCTCACAATATTGACTCAAATTCGAGTCAACATTGACTTTATTTGTAAAAAAGTGAACGTCCGCTGGTACACCTGAATGGGGTTACTGAAGAACACTGTAACCGCTGAAGTATCACAACGTCATAAAAGAAACCTCTGCATAGGATGCAGGCCAGTAATAAAAAAAAATAGGACCGAAATTGCCTACGCCAGCCAAATCACGATTGGCATGCCCGTATTGTCCAGTATTAAAGCATTAATTTTTGTTGGCCATGAACTTGAGGGATTGTTAAGCATTTTGTTGGCCATGAACTTGCGGGATTGTAGAGCATTTTGTTGGCCATGAACTTGAGGGATTGTAAAGCATTTCGTTGGCCATGAACTGGAGGGATTGTAAAGCATTTTGTTGGCCATGAACTGGAGGGATTGTGAAGCATTTTGTTGGCCATGAACTTGAGGGATTGTATAGCATTTTGTTGGCCATGAACTTGAGGGATTGTAAAGCATTTTGTTGGCCATGAACTGGAGGGATTGTGAAGCATTTTGTTGGCCATGAACTTGAGGGATTGTAAAGCATTTCGTTGGCTGTAAACTTGCGGGATTGTAGAGCATTTTGTTGGCCATGAACTCGAGGGATTGTAAAGCATTTTGTTGACCATGAACTTGAGGGAATGTAAAGCATTTTGTTGGTCATGAACTGGAGGGATTGTAATTGGCCATGAACTTGAGGGATTGTAAAGCATTTTGTTGGCCGTGAACTTGAGGGATTGTTAAGCATTTCGTTGGCCATGAACTGGAGGGATTGTCAAGCCTTTTTTGGCCATGACATGGAGGGATTGTAAACAATTTTGTTGGCCATCAACTTGAGGGATTGTTAAATTTGGATAAAATTTGGTGCTACAAAATTGCTCTACTTTGCAAATGGAGCACAGGCATCAATTTCCAAAATGACGATGGGCTACTGGACTACTTTTAGGGGTGATTATCTTTGGACGGAATTTTCTCCCAAAAGTAATTCCTTAACCCCAACAAATTTGGACAGAAAATTAAATATGATGATGTAAGCTTTAGTTTGATGTGTGTTTCAAACACCTTGGTGAGTTGCGAGTATTTGTCCTGAATGTGACCAAATATTTTAAATACTCACTACTCTCCAAGGTGTTTGAGAGTAAAGCTTATTATATCATATTTAATTTTCGGTTCAATTTTTGGGTATTAATCGGATGACTTTTGGGAGAAAATTCCATCCTAAGATGATCCCCTAAATGTAGTTTTGTGGCACATCGCCAATTTTAATAATTATGCCTGCGCTCCATTGCAAAATAGAGCAATTCCTTGGCCCAATTTCATCCGTATTTCACAGTAATAGGAGCTCGCACTCCTGTACACGGCTTCCACTCATCTTTTTTTTTTCAAACCTTTAAGTTCAAGGTCCGCAAAATGCTCTATGAAAGCAAAGACATTGAGGGCACACAAGTCGTAATTTGGCCCGCGTAGGCAATTCTGGGCCTATTTACTGGTGTGCACCCCTGAAGCCAGGGGGAAAGCAGTCTGCTGCCACCACGAGTCTAGATAGAGAAAGTATTGATTCGTGTTATCAGTGGACCTGATACGACACTGAGGTATTAAGCGCACTGGAATGACCGCCACGAGTAAACTTAGCGTAGTACACCGGTTTACTTTGGCCAGCCTACGTGCAGTCATGCAAATTAAAGTACAACATTGAAGAATTCTTATTCTTTTTATTTACCCAATATATTTTCATAGCGCGCACTTGTACTCACAACGCTTTATTATGGACAAGCACCTGCAATACAAACTATACAAGAATAATCAGTTCTGCTTCTGGTCAACATGGGACATTTTGTTTTTACGTGCCGCATCAATGGGTTTTCATTTTGCACACACAGTATTGCAAAATCAGTTTTGTTCCCTTTAAAGCTAGCGCCGGCCGTAAGTGTTAAAAGGCAAGTTTCCTGTTGTAATTAGGACACCTTATTCCTCGACAGTCCTTCCAAAGAAATGATTAATGCAAGCGTAGGCAGCGGGAATACTTCGCTTCTTGTTTCACGCATAGCTTACGTGTGAATCGGGGTGTACCTTTCATTAAAGCATTTACCTGAAGTTGCTCACTCCACTGAACGATCGACTCTGGTAACCTAGTTAGCGACACGACCCTGTAAAAGAAGAAGAAATCAACACGGGTGTGCAAATAAATTTTCTCGACAGGTGGCACACATGCTCATTGCGTTATTCCTGCGGCCTTTTTTATCTAGTGAACCACTAGCAGGTGGGTAAAAATACAAGGTGTGATGGTGAAGTCCCATTATATGCCATGGATATAGAGCAGCATATTATTATAACCCACGTGTTTTGTTCGTTTTGTTTTGTTGTCGTTGTTGTTGTCGATATTGTCGTTGTTGTCGTCGTTGTTGTCGTTGCCGTCGTTGTTGTCGTCGTTGTTGTAATTGTTGTCGTTGTCATTGCTGCTGCCATCGTTGTTGCTATGGTTGTTTTTGTTGTTGTCTTTGACGTTGTCGTTGTTGGCGTTGTCGTCGTCCTCGTTATATCGTTCTTGTAATTGTTGTCGTTTTCGTTGCTGCTGCTGCTGCAGCTGCTGCTGCTGTTCCTGTTGTAATTGTTCAATGTTATTGCCATTGTCGTTGCTCCTGCTGCTGTTGTTGTTGCTGTTGCTGCTGTCGTTGTCGGTGTTGTTGTTGTCGTCGTCGTTGTTATATCGTTGCTGTCGTTGCCATTGTCGTTGCTGCTGTTGTTGTTGTTAATGTTGTTGTTGTTGTTGTTGTTGTTAATTTAATGTTATTTTTGGTATACATAGTGGTTCTGACATAACTGTGTTTCATACTTGCTCAATGTCACCTTTCTTATTAAAGTTAGTGTATGATTCTTCTCATTCAAACACTTAACTTCGATCGTATTAAAACAGGAAAACAGTCAATGCATCTGGGCTCAGCTCGCTGCATGTTGGATTGTTTATTATCAAATCTGAGTGTAGTTATTTAGAATGTAAATACTTCAAGAATTGCTTTCCAACAGAAATGTGTATTTGACGGGATGCGAATGTCACAAAGACACTTTTTCCCCGATTTTTTCATTTCAATTATGAATGCGAGTGACTGATTAATAATGGCACCAGCACCTCACCACCGGCACAAGTAGCAACAACAACCAAACGCTTTGAACAATATTTACCAACAAATAAAAAATAAAAATACATGTATATTACTTCCCCCCAAAATGACCCATTCACCAGAACCACATCCAAAAAACGCTTCTGTGATTTCCTTAGTGCACAGCAGCTTGATGTTACCACGCGTGTTTCATGAAAAAAATGATTAAAAAAACAGTATCCACGACTGTAGGTTTTTTTTGGGAGGGGGGGGGGGGGATAAGTCGATAAGGCTTGTTCGATAGCCGGTCAGATTTTATCTAATCAAAGTAAGCGCTTTGGTGTGCAATAGTTTGGTCAAATTGTTGGTTTTGGAAAACGGCTCTGAGTGATGATTGACTACTTTTTTGTTCACTGAAGCCAACTCGACTCTTCTGGGGATTCAACATTAAGTGCAAGGGAACAAAAAATAAAACCCAAAAAGGCGTTGCACTGGGGCTTTGAGACTTGTAGATCGGCTTGCAAAAGAGGCACTGCACTATAGAAAGAACGAAATATGAGGCCGTGTATTAGTAGCCTATAGGAGGAAAGCACTCCTCGCGGACATGTAAGCGATGCGGAAAATTGACTTGGAATCTGCGAATTTGCCTCGTCGCGACCGCGTATCTGTTGAGGCCTGTCGCAATGGATATCGTCACGTTCAGTATAAATCATGTATCCAGTTTCTAAGAGGGTCGGAATGTTAAACAGATTTGAAATCTGCCTGCTGAGCGCTAAACCACGGTGCCAAAAAAAATCCAGATATATTTGATTGGTGTGACACGTTAATGGGATAATGCTTCTCAATACGTACATGAGGATTTTTGAGAGGGCGTATAGGGTGTCCGATATTTTGTGCTACGGTATGCCCCGCGTGTATGCTTGAAGGTAATATACAACATTTGCAAACATCAACAAGAAAAAACTACCATATTATTATGAAATACCTAGCGTGACTGTAAGTGAATAATAGTCTCAAGCAGCCTGTGAAATCATGACACCTGGTCACGGGTGTGCTGTCATTTTCATGAAAAGTGGAGTTTTTGTACCAATTTCCAACAATGGTTGGCCGACTATCGTTTAAAAAAAAGAAACTGAGTTTTTTTTATTTTTAAAATACTGCCCCTAATTTACCAAATTTAGTTAGTCCACATGTGTTTGCAATCGGTTACACATCTGTGAACGGGTGCGAGCCAGCTAGTCTACTTCCTGCTCCGTTTTGTCTGAAGTAGTGTTAGGGAACCAGACTACAAGAACCTTTTATTTTTTATTTTTTATTTTTCCAGCATAAACACGTCAGTGTAACAATATTTGCTGTAAAATACTAACCCCCAAATCCATCCAATTCTGAAAATTACAGCAAAAGCAAATGTCGTATATTACCTTTAATTCTAAGACATGGGCCCAATTTCATTCGGCTATTAGGCAGAAAAATATTGCTAAACAAAGCATCTTGCTCAACAAAAATCTGCTGGGAACCAGGCGCAAGCAATATACAACACACGATATGTTAGCTGGTAACCTGTCGATTCTAAGCAAAACTTCTTTTGTGTTTAGCAAATTATGTTCTGGGCAACTCCACAAAATTGCCACCTTGAAACAAGAATTCAGACGCAAAAGTACAGAGGATCATTTTCAGTTATCCAAACAGTAACCTACCGAATTGTAATTAAAAAGCTTACTTGGGTTAAAGATCGTACTGGTACTACAAACTCTGTGAAATTATTCCGTCTGGTTTGCTGTCATTTAGAAGATATCAAGAAATGTATGTGCTTTTCTACGATCAATTCTTTGACTGACTTTTGGAAGTAAGAAGTGATATTGACGTGATCAAAAGATTGTGCGTGGTTTTTGCACTGTTTTCTCGAAAAGTATATCCACTGAGCTGAAACTTCAACAGGTTAAAGGTTTTGAGCATTCTTCTTTGGATTTTGAGTGGTGTCATCATTGGAAACGAACAAAATTCATTGAAAAGTAAATGATCCAATAGAAATCCCATGCTTGTAAAGGGAATGTACATCATTGGCTTTTGCTGTAATTTTCAGAAATGAAGTATTTTAGGGGTTGGTATAATAGATCAAATACTGTTACACTGACGTGTTTCAAGGTTCGTGTTCGAAAATGCTGGAAAAACCAAGAAAAACACAAATGTTCAAGTAGTCTGGTTCCTTGACTCCAATAAAGATAAAATGGATCAATTTATAGATGCCTGAAAATTTTAAGGTAAGGGAACCAGTCTAGCTGGCCTGCACCCGTTCATGAACATGTAACCAATAGCAAACAAAATTTTGACTTAAACAAGGGTAAAGTTGGAGCAGTATTTGAAAAATAGTTAGGTTTTTCCAACGGTGGTCGGCCGACCACCGTTTGAAATGTATACAAAAATATCATTTTCTTGAAAATGACTTCACACCAGGTGCCATAATTTTATAAGATTCTTTAGACTGTTATTTACCAACATCCCTGTAAGGTAATTCGTAAAACTTGGTAGTTTTATTTTTCGATGTTTGCAAATGTTGTATATTCCCTTTAAACCAAAGAAACGATTCCATGATCTTTAATGCAGTGTAGCTGGTACCACTGTCTCCGCCCATAGCTCCCATGAACATCAATCGTGAGTTGCTTCAGCCTGCACTGTACAGCACTTCTGGACACCAACGAAATTACGTCTATCACTTAGTACATTCACACTTTGGGTAACATATCGACTCGGGGTACAACACGTTTAATTTTTAACTCGTTACCAGTCAGTTTCCATTGGCAATTAACACATGATTTAGCACGCGTGACACGTATCTGGGGCTGTTGATGAGATCATTCACTTGGAGCCGAGGTGGTCATTTTCAATCACGACTTGCCACAGGCAGCGCTTTTAAGAGCAGTTTTTGAAGAAAAGAGACTTATAACGTACTACGTGATCAAAAGATGATTTGGAAGACGGTGTTGTCTTCTCCAAATGAGACTAATTATGTAGCCTATACTTGTTATTCTGTTAATATTTATACAGGGCCAAAAAAAGAAACTACTTTTTTAATGGTGCCAGAGAACTGGCCTAGAGTTATCATTGCACCTGACTAACTGACTTCACTGATAATATAACCTGTGAGCCGGGCAGTGCTATCGGATAGTACTACCCCGTAACGACAACGAATGGGCTAAATCAGGCCCATTGTCTACTCAGATGCATGAACAGACGTCTAGTGAATAGCCATTCTCGATCGAGTGAATATAACTCTGCGCACTCTGGTTGTGTGCAGTTTCAATGTTTATAATCAGCTACCGTAACAATACACCGCGTCCCAAAGTACCGCAACATTGTTTTTGCGAGGCTCTAGCGTCGCCGCGGAAATACTTACCGCCAATATTTTGATATCATTTCAAAGCTTAGAATCTTATTCCCTGGTAAGTACTGGTTTGATTTTTTAAAAGGGTTTTGAAAGGATTCGTGTTCAAATTAAGGCACGTCAAAAACAAACTCAACCGACTTCAAGGAAAATCAATCATGCGCACTTTTTTTCTAATGTGGAAGTGGTTCGTCACGTTCATGATGTGACGATGTCGCTGCCTTTTACTTTCTGTGTTTCCTATTCTATTCGATCCACGTAGACAACACCTTCAATGAATTCACAATATTGTTCTTCGTTTCAAGTTCAATTTTGAAAATCACCTGCAAAGTACGTATACCTATTCAAAAAGCGCGCTCAAAGTGTGACTCGAGTTTGCATCTGATGTACCGCATCATAGATTTTCCTTGAAATCGGTTGAGTTGTTTTCAACATGCCTTTATTTGAACACGAATAATTTTAAAACTCTTTTAAATATCAACCAATACTCGCCAGGGATCTTTAAAAGCTAACATTCCAAGCTTTAAAACGGTATAAAAATAATGGCGGTACGTGATTGCGCGCCGACGCTAAAGCCTCGCAAAAAAATGTTCCGCACATTTTGGGACGCGCTGTATAGCCCAAAACGCAGGAAATCCTAGGAAACGTATGGAATACTTTAATTTTCCAATATCCAAATCAGAGAGGTAACTTGTGACAAAAGCTGCACCTAAGATCGTTAAGTATTCATTTCAATTCAATGTGCGTGTCACGCCTTTCTGTCGCCCATTTAAGCGCTTTACGCATCTTATGCTCTCCGTGAGTGAACAGGACAAAAGAAAAACCAAGTCGACTTTGAGCACTACACCTGCCCTTTTCAAGCCAATTATGCAAAGTCGGCGAGCACGACCCCCTAAAGCTATTACGGCCGACCGCGGCGACGGAATCAATTTCGCCCTAACCGCCGGCCCAACGAGGTCTGACACCCCCGCGATAGCTTTCCTGATGGCCGGCGAACAGGTTGAAGATGCTCGGAGGTGTGCGCGGGGAAACACACGGGGGTTAAGAGAGAGTGGTATCATTCATCATCTAACGGGCTCATCTTGTAGAGTCTCCATCAGATTGAATACCGATGGGGCATGCTGTGGATCGAAGATTACACTCGATCATTCTATTTTCTCGACACTGTCATTGCCTGGTATCGAGGCATTCATATACGTGCCATCGATGGAGTAAGCCAGCTCAAAAATATCAAAGCGCACTCTGTGCATCCTGTGTCGCATAAACTCATTAAATACCAAAATAAACTTAAATACCTTACGCGATGACCGGTTGCATCTGCTATTCCGTTCCACCCTCCAGAATAAATAAAACCCAGAAAGTCGAACAAGACACTAAAAGACATAGGATCATTTGCATTTATCCCAAAAGTATAACCTCCCAAATTATTGTCAAAAGCTTATTTGGATTAAAGATCGTACTGGTTCTGATCGTACTAAAAAAACCGTGAAGATATTCCATCTGACTTGCTCTCAGTTAGAAGAAATCAAGAAATGTAGGTGATTTCCAACGATCATTCAATTGACTGATCGTTGCAAAATAAAAAGTTATAATTATTAACGTGTTTCGTGGTCAAAAGGTTGTGCATGGCTCGTCGGTATTTTCTTGGAAAAAAATGTAATAAGCTGAAACTTCAACAGGTCAGGTTTTGAACATTTTTCTCTTGGTTTTTGAGTGGTGTTAGTGAAAGCGAACAGAAATACATGAAAAGCAAAGAATCCTATGTGCCTTCAAATTTATTTTGTTCAGCAACAGTACTATCACTTACTCAAATTTGCTTTTTCTTCTTTTCATCTTTGGAGACACAAGTATATTTTGATTTGGGGTATTTTGCGGAAAGTTGTCATTCTGTGTCATTCCGTTTGTTCGTCATTTTATTGTTATTAATTCAAGACTGGTTTGTTTTTCATGTGTGTTCAAGAAATTGGTATATGCGGTCGAAAAGTCAAGAGCTGCATGGTGTTTGATCAAAGGCTATGCATTTTCAACACTGAAACCAAGTTGCATACCGTATGAAGATTGTCATGCTATTTACTCGACGGCTCGAGTCACGACCAATGGATTATTATATCTTTGGGCAGAAACTTGACTCAATCTGGAGCATATGGTACAAACAAAACGTCATATACACCACGTATATACACTGCCCCCCTTGCGAATAACCCCAAAGCAAATATGTATAGATGCATAACAAGACAGCGGGTGTCAGTGTTACATTTTGTTTCCCCTTTGACGACAGCCAGGAATATTGATCCCCACCGAAAGAATGATTACATGATATTAGGCACTTTAGACGGGCAGGAAAACTCAATTGCTGCCAAGGGGATGCAATAAACACAACATTTATGCGGCGCCCCGTGGGGCGACAATTCAAGGGGAGGATTTCGGGAGGAATTTCGACACAGACGGGTCAAATTTGACAGCATTCAACAAAAGTCACGTTTCTTGAACATTCCGTGATAGGTGGATGACTCTTGAGTCTTTTCTGTTTGAACTGGAGGTGACGATTTCATCAAAATAAATTTTAAAAGGGGGCGAAACTAATTTCACGCATGCATGTATTTCGTCACCTATAACATGAATTGATCCTTCTGCATCAACTGCATCATCATGTGAAGCAATGAAGTTCGTGACTATTGTGGCTATAAGTAAACAAGTCGATATTTTTCACCGCTCGTCCCTGTTACTTGTAGCTAACAGGGACAAGTAACAGGGACGAGCGGTGAAAAATTTATGCCTTCGTCAGGGTGAATTTGAAAAACTTAATGTCACTTGTTTCAAGAATAGAATTGTGATATTACTTGGGATGAATTCCATCAAAACTCCGAAAAATATATATATGCACATTGTCTTTGGAGAATTGGAAACTTTAAATAGGCGTTACGGCCTGAAATCCCAGAAAATTTCACTGTTTCGATTATTTAGCCTACTTATCCTTTTTCAAATGTCTGGTTGAAAGGAAACTTATCTCATGTCTTACCGTTCCTGAGAAAAGACGAACAACCCAGGTTGTTTACATCGGACCCGGCGGAAATTTTGTGGCATGAGCATATGTGTTTCAAGCCGTCTCTATTCAATATTCTGCATACACATTGTGTGTGTGTGTCACATAATACACACAACGCCAATACACAAATTTGTTACGCATCCCCAGAATACGTTTCACTGTGCGGCAGGATTGACAGCTAGCAATCAACAGCTCGATTTTTTCGGAGTCAAAATTGTGTCCCCGAAATTCGTTCTCGCATGGTTCTCGCACGAGTAACGCAAAAACGCCCAGATTTTAAAGGATAGTTGTGTAGACGTTTATATATCCCATTTTAAAATGCTCTTTCCAATTAGTATAATTTCGTTTAAAACGCGTTTTTTAGCCCAATGCAGAGCATTCCAGGCCGTAATGTCCCTTTAAAGAATAAAGTCGTACAAAGGAAATGAATCCAGAAAAAGTTCGGTTCGTGCGCGTTTGTGCATCGCGAAAAATGACAGCCAAACGAGTCGATCTGACAGGCTGAGAAATTGTTACCCCTGAGAAGACGACGCATTGCGGACATCATTTTGACAACCTGTGCTTGTATCAACAGTTTATTGTTGATTCGGACGGCAGGTGGCACGGAAAAGACTCGGACGAGCGGGGGATGTGGGTGGGGGAGAGGCGCAGATAGGAGGAAGGAAACCAGAAAACATTAAGTTCAAAGGTTGTACGAAGAAAGAAAAAAATCGCCATTCAACTCTGTGTTTGTTCACATTGGCACTATATGCACACGCACCATTTGGTCAGGCGTGAGGACTGAATAGGTTTAATTTCTAAGGAAGAATCTCATTTTGGCAGTTGAATCTTGAAGGTTTCTTTCCTCCATTTTTTTTTTAAATCGAGGCTATATCAATGCAAGTTTCAACTATTCTTCATAACTACAACCGTGAAGAAACGGACGATACAATAAACAAACTTGGTGTTGTGAGGAATAATTCCAAATTTTGAATGAAACATCGTTTGAGGGTGTTTTTTTGTTTGTTTCCCAAACGCAGATTGGCTTTTATACCGAGGCCGATAACGGCCACGATTAGACAATTGCCTGGCGAAGTGAGGCATGTGTGAATGCTCATTTTGATTAAAATAAATAGACTCGGTATAACACGGTATAAGACAGCCATCTCGAGGCTCACAAACGGTGAGCTTTCAAACAATAGGTCTAATATCGTTGGTAAGATTTTAGGGTCAGTGGCGTAAACTGGGTCCAATTTGTAAAAGGCACCGATTCTTCATTTACTGGAGGTGAGGTGTGACTCATTGAGTTTGGTCACAATGAAATGATTGTGATTACCGAAGTTATGATTAATGATTATGATTAATTATCATGATTAACTACAAAGCTCTTTCTCTTCTCCAAATTCCGAGCAAGTGTACACATAACAGACCTCGTCAATCAAAAGGTTGGGCAAATTGGTATTTATTGTCCCCAGTGTTGGTTAATATATCAACTGCCCGCACTCTTGACCGAATTCTCCCCTGAAGTTAATTAATCCGAATTACCCAACAAATGACACATCTGATACTATTGTTTGGCAAAACAAAATAATGATTGCTTTTTACAGTGGGAGTATAAGCATTATCCCCTCTCCTAATTATGCCCCTAGCATGAGTTGGTACCCTACCTTCTTTGCATGGCAGCCAGCACCGGGTCGGTCGCGGGTCCCGGCTCGCCCAGCCATGCCTGTTTGCTCTCCCGTATCTTGTTCTCCCCGTGGCCGGTCTGTTGCCAGACCCACCGCTCGACGTCGGCCAGACGGTCGCTGAAGACCAGCGAGACGAACTCGTCCCTGGTCAGCTGGCCGTCCGAGTCCGGGTCCAGACCCAGATCGCTGTACATCTGCAGCACGTCCTTATGGCGCAGGAAGGCGTTGTCGGTGTTCAGGACGGACAGAAGTTCCTCTGTATCCAACACCTATAGAATAATAATAGGTACTTGTTTAATGGTCCTAACATGAACACGTACTCGTCCCTGGAGACCTATAAACCTTTATCATGCTGCCACCATTTCAGTCATGTTCCCTGTATCCAATATTAACAGTACTAAATGATAATGGTTATTTGTGCAAAAAGGAACCAGACTATTTTTCCTTCCAGCCTCGCTTTTGTTACGTTGATTTAAATGGGAAAAAAATCAAGATGGCCGCAACATGATAATGATCTATATCGCTCATGACTATTTCCATGCAGGTTTGCAGCATTACTAATGTTACTATATCATCGTGACTTTGGGCGCGATCCCTGGCTATATGGTATATACGGGTTTATGGCTTCTGTTTAGCATCCCTTGAACAAAGACATTGACAACTTGGGGAACCGCCAATACGGGGCAGGAGAGCACAGTTGGTAGAGCAACGACACGGTGCTCCTTAGGTCGTAGGTTCAAACCCCGCTCCAGTCAATTCTTTCTTCAACTTTATTATTGTTAAAAGATCATAACACTTTAAGCAATTATAACCCCGACCGCTTGATGTCAATTTCAGGGGGCTGAATAAATATTTAGCAAGCACAGGTTGGCAGCGAAAATATCATGCTATATATGTTGCTCGTGACTGGTTCTAAAAAGCTTTGGGCCCTGATCATTGGGCTCTTGATATATGGTTCATTGGGTCCATTTTTCCCCTATATCCGTGTTACATCTCACATATATGATTGTGCATTTGTGTTGCACTCCTTAATGCAGTCATCCTACAATAGTGGTTATGAATATCAACTACATACCCAGCAAATAGAAAAAAAATATATTTGTAATTAAGTAAGTTATGTATTAAGTAATTCTTAACGATACATGAATGGCAAATTACAAAGTACCAAGGTAACAGGGACAGGAAAAATGTCACACTTAGGGCCCTAAATTGATAGACTGACCCCATTCATTGTATCAGCTTAGCCCCCTGGCAGTATACAACTCAACGATTGAAGGATGCCATGTTGCTCCTGCGTGGGCAGTCAATTAGTAACAAGTGTCTTGCCCAAGAACGCCAGCATCACAGGCTGGATTCAACGCAAACAAAATCCGAAATAACCTATAGGTTCGATGCATCAGAAGACGAGGCAACAACATTTCATAATCTACAATATTTCATTCTCTTATTCTCGATATTCTTCAATTGCACGTTCATTTTAAATTCGTTTTACATCGATATACACGTATCTCGTTTTTAAAGAGATATACCCCCCCAAAATAGATCTCATAGTGTTTGGGGAAAACCCTTATTTGATGTGCTTTTCTTGTATATTTCTTATTTTCAAAGTATAAATTACATTACGTACGAAGATGAAACTTGTGTTTATTCAGAGGCCGGAATGAAGTTCTGAAGTTGGCTTGTTTTAATTAATAAGGCGGCGATACATCATATGAATTTATTTATTCATGAACAGCCTGTCTGGCGACTTAGATTGACATTCAAGCGCCAGCCCAAACAGATAATCTGCTACGACTTCTCCGCTGACTTCGATTAAAGAACGAAAAGACAGCACACCCTGCAAAAGAACTACAGTTCCAGATAAGAAAACAGAACCAGTATACATCAAATGCCGGTCACCAACTCTGACAGTCGACTTTTTTCAGTCAAGATTACAACTATCCTTTATTTATCCGGATGTCTTCGGAGTGACAGGTCCATGTTTCTTAATTTCGCCCGCGAATAATGTGTGAAAACATCTGCGCCGACTTGGGAATGCCGAAGATCAGACGGACACGCAAATAGCGTCTAGGGGCAAGAAGTGCTGCTTGATGAACAGCGCAACACGAAATGGATTGACAGCGGTGTTCATTCAATTTAACACCCCCCCCCCCTCCCTTTTCGTCAAGATTTTGCAACAACACACGTGTCAGGCCCAAACGACGCGTAGAAGACCATTATTCCCTCAAAGTGATTTGAATGATGCTATTTAGGTTACACGCGTGTCCCACGCGCTGGCGACATTATTTTGCACGCGCCTGGCACGTGCCGCTGTCAAAAGATTGCTATCGTTTAGATCTGATTGGTCGAAAGTATACAATAGCTGTTACAGTAGGGCTGCAATGACCGATTCAGAGCAGCATGCACAGTCGAGTCGGTCGTGACTTAAGGACAAAATTTGTTTTTATAGGAACTTGATCTCGTGTTTTTTTTTAATTTAATGTAGTTAGTCTGTTCATTGTCATTTCTAAATACCTTTTTATAAATTTGGGTCAAATGGCTTTTCTCGCGGGTGACTCTCTTATTCCCCACAGTGAAATCTATTTGAATGAAAATTCGCTCCGTCTGACAGAAACTAGTAAGGACGAGACGATTTCATTTTTTTTTTATAGGAAAAGATCGTTGTGGTCCAACGGTGTTTGACTCACGTGCCGAGGTACGTGGGGTCGAACCCTGACGGGGAACATGGTGCTTGTGTTCTTGGGCAAGACACTTTACTACAATTACCTCTCTCCATCCAGGAGTATAAATGGGTACCTGTGAAGGTTATAGAGACCAAATTGCGCTGATCTCGAGCTGCTGCAAAAAAAGTGGTCTCATTCCTGATGAACAGGGATAATAATTGTAAAGCGCTTTGAAACTTTAGTTATAAAGCGCTATATAAGCACCACATTATTATTATTATTTTTAAACTCGAATTTCAACTGAAGTGGTTCTTTTTCAAAACATTTCAATCCAAAATTAAAGTGATTTCCACACTGAACCATCAGTTCCCTAGTTTTACTCCATGAGAGGTTTGCGAATCCCACAAAATAAATAAAGAATTAAAAACCGTACCATATCATCATTGACGTCTAAGTCAACGAAGACAGAGTCTGCGTTTCTCTCTTCCGCCTCTCTGTCCAACTCGCCTGCTGCTTGCCCGTCATCTTGATCATCGACTTCCCCCTCCTCCTCCTGGGCCAAGTCCTTGTAGTAAGCGTCGTCGTTCACCCCGCTAGGGTACAGGCCCCCGCGTAGCGCCTGCTCAATGATGTAGTCGCACTCGTCCGGTGACAGGAATCCGCGTATTTCTGGGAATTATCAACAATTTAAGTTGTATTTATTATTTTAATAATTTGACACAATAAAAAACAGCGGAATTTCGGCTATCCGGTATTACAATGATAAAAAGTCAACAAACAAAGAAAGACAAAGGTATAAAAAACTATAATAATTCCTGTTTTTTTGGTATTTTTAACAGCATAATAAACTTGCTTTCATGGGTGTCATCTTATTTCAGATGGATATTCAATGATTGTGTTAGTCTATATCTTAATAATCAGGAAGTATTTTCTAAGAACATTGTTACGTGCCTAAATTTAGCTTGTTTGCAAATTTTTGTCGAAAGAGAATGATCAAAAAATTAAATCTTCACGGTGATGATCAAAGTGAGTGCTGGTTCGTGAAGCTTCTGTTGATGGCTGTACTTTTCCTATTCGAAGTAGGTCAATGGCTCGTTTTCATGTCATTAGCTTAATGCACGAAATATTTCAGATGAAAATCACGAATTTCCCCGTTCATATATGACAAATTACTGTGCAGGAAATTGCAATTATATTATAACGACGTTGCCAAATGGACCTAAATGACATCAAACCAGCACCAAAGAATGTATCAGATTTCACCCGCCGCGCTTTTGAAGCGAGGATAATGGCCGGAAAGGGAGCACTTTCCACCGCGCCGTCATTTTGTCCTCACCGAATAATGGCGGTTGTAAGGCTTTCGTTTCGACCTGAAGAACTCGGTCCGGCTCGGCTTCAAAATCCCTCACGTAGCCTTTCTGCAAGAGAAGAAGAGAGGAGAAACGGGTGATGTACTTGAACGTAGGCTAAACTAACACGGTAAAGTTTATGGCGAAGCACGTCGAGGGCGTTTCTATTGACACAGCAAAAACTGTTACCGTGCATTTCCATCAGATCGAACGGCTGCATGTTTTTAACCGCGTGTTTGATTGTATTGAACACGGCGAACGCTGGCACGTACACGCAAAGTTTGCAGATCGTCATTTTGAAAAACAGCACGTACGCTCTTGAAGAAGCGCGAGGTTTATTCCTGTGTTCTCAAGACGTACCAGAATTTGTTCAAATTTGCACGTATCCTGATTTTTTTTCTCGAGCAAATGAAACTGACCGTTAATGACCGTCCCAGTCGTCTGGTCTTGTTGTCTACATGGTCTGGCGCGGACGAAATGATGCAGCTGGAGACATGCAGCCTAAATCACATACGGATTAATCAGGTCTGCAAATTTGGTTATGAGAAGGTTGGAAGATCCCTTTGCCTCGCTAAGATCCCCTTTGCCTCGCTAAGATCCCTTTGACTTGCTTAGCCCGCCTGTGGGAGACCGAGTGAGTGAGTGAGTGAGTGAAGATCCCTGGAGGATGGGGCATCATGGGACTTGTGTCCTTGAGCTAGACACTTTATAGCAAGATTAGTATGCTTCCACAAAAGTAAAACGTTACCCTTAATTAAAGCACGAAAAGATTTATTTTTCTACAATTCTCATGATAATATTTTTGATAAATTGCATCGATCATTATTTTTGTTCTATATTTTAACAGGAATTTAAATTAAAGATAAAACACACCCTTGGATTTTATTAGTCCCTTCACACACCTCGCCCTCCTTTCATCATAAAAAAAACCTTCATAGAAGGGAAAAATATATATCATTCATTACATTTGCTCCGGTTAAAGTTTGTCGTAATAGCTACAATTTTTCATCAACTACCGCTCTGAGCTGATTTAACGGTTACATTTTTACTCTGTGATTTATGGCCAGACTGAACCTAATTGCACTCTGAGATCCCAAAACCTGGGGAAATACATGTATGTTTGACTCAACTCAAGTTAGGAAATCGCTGTGGATGAAGGGATGGGAGATATAATCGATCATCCCCGGTGTCATTTAGATACGTTATATGGAAATAAAGTCAATATCGATACCAGCAATAGGCAATATAATCAGCGTGTTAGTCTCGCCTGTCCGCCGTAATATGAACGTCTTGGTACCAAACACTGACCAGTCTAGACACAGTCTCTCGAATTTTAATTTACCAAATTGTTATTCATTGAACGCCAGTTGAGGTCAACTATTTTAAGTTAATAGTAGTCATTAATTCGCAATATTTTCAATATCATTTTATGAAGTGTAATAGCTCTTTCGGAATACCCATTTATTACCCTTGACTGGATGGGCCCAGTCAGGACGCAAAATAAAAATGCAATAAAAGAGGACGTTACACACGTTGTATAGGTCTTCTTATATACATTTTGCCCGGATGCGCTGTACTATTCTCGTAAAATCTCGCAGGCATTTGAGGTCAATTTAAACCGCTCTATTTTCATAGGATGGGTACGCCGTAACGAGATAATTATCTGGGTACAAACGGTGTAAATATCATGTGTATTGAAGGGACTTTGCAGCTTTACTTAAAAAAAAACATTTTTAATAAACCTTTTTGACATTCGCATTGTATCATGGGTATGGATAACAGACAAACATTGCAGTTGATGCATAACCTATTTGTGGAACCAGTCAAGCTTTTAAGTTTTTTTTCTTAATTATTTTTCCAAAATTAAATGATAACCTTTTCACCTATTTAAGAAATATAATTTGTAAATAAATTCAGTTTTTAAACCTTAGAAATAAACAGTTTTTAAATCTTTCAATTTATTTCCTGGTGCCAGTCTTCAGGCCCAGAGGAACGATTGTGATTGGTCAGTGTTGAAGGTGTGAGCTTGACATCTTGATTCTGATTGGTCATTATTTGCAGGATCATGTTATTATTATTCATGAGTAATGAAACTGGTCTCTAAACAGGATTCTCAAAAACCTTCTTCATTGTTATAGGCTTTAAAAATGAATCATTAATTTCTTGGTATATAATGAGGACGAATCAAATGAAAGTTGTAACTGGTACTCGGCTCCATAAGTTTGTGCACAAATTTCCTATTTGTAATCCAGACCCAAGATGCATTGCGCATATCAAAAATGGTTATTACATCAACATGTAAACTTAGGTCATTAATGTAGGATTCAGGACTGTTTGTACCCCTCAAATGGTGTTGTCACATCGCCGCATTAGTTTGACTATACGACCTACCCTACTGAAACTTTCAGAGCTCATGACCAATTACGACGAGTGTTAGGCTGCTGCTGTTTATAACAGCATTAAGAGCGCCCTCATAACGATGTGTGGATTCTGTAAAGCCGGCCTCTCTCTTTCAAAATATTTTTTTTCATGTGGGACATCTTAGGAAGTTACTTTTCAGCGCAAAATCAACATCGTGTATATATAAAGTCCTTTCTAAATACACACAGAATCACGCCTTTCGTTGGCGTGACATTTCGGCATATCCGCTAGACGTTTGAAGTGTGTGATGCGTGGTTCTTCGGAGATCAATTTGAGAGGATTTTGGGAGGAATAACAACATTAAGTAAACGAGCTTAACCTTGTCAGAGAGGTTTGAAAACGTCAGAGAGGTTTCGAATAATATTTACCATTAAAACACAATCCTGTGAAAATTCAACAAAGCCTTTTGTTTGAATAAGGGAAATACTCTTGAGGGAACTGAATGTGCCATTTTCAAGAAACTTTCTGCGTGGGCAAATTTTAACTGCGGACTTTTTACTCTTGGGGTAGTAGATCTATATAGATAGGTGATTCACAATGTGACAACATCGGTCGCAAACTCATTTTCACGTGTAAGATTTCAGACATTTTGGAATATCTGAAGATCGATATCAGGGGGCGGTGAAGGGCGGATCTGGGGGGGGGGGGCAAAGGGGGCCATGCCCCCCCCCCCCAAAGACAAACCCATTTTTGTTTTTTAAGTGTTGTCGCAATAAAGGAAGGCAATGAGTACACCACCATCTTTTCCTCAAAAAACATTGGTTAAAGTGGTCAGAAATTGCCTCAGATCGCACCACAATCCAAAAATATTTAGGGGCCCTTGAGCGGGCCCCGAACCGCACGCCATAATTTTTGACCCACTTTTTGGGGGACCATTTTTTTTGTTGGCCATCCCAAAAATTGTGTTCTGGAGCCGCCCTTGGCGGCGCTGTGGTCCAGTGGTTACAGAGTTCGACTCACGTGTCGTGGTACATGGGTTGGAACCCTGACGGGGAACATGGTGCTTGTGTTCTTGGGCAAGACACTTTACTACGATTGCCTGTCTCTACCCAGGAGTATGGGTAACTGTGAGGGTAGAGACCAAATTGCGCTGATCTCGAACTGTTGCAGAAAAATGGTCTCATTCCTGATGAATAGGTGTAATAAAGGCGCTTTGACACCTTAGATATAAGGCGCTATAAGGACCACATTATTATTATTCAAAAAATGTATACAATTTGTGATGTTATTTTAAGAAGCAATGAAATTGCGTAGAATCTGAAGAATGGTAACCATTTCTCGACCTGAAGCAGTTTAAGCTCAGTTGTTACTAAAATTGGAGAAAAGTTAGAAATCCCATGTTTTGGTCTCGTTAGTGGATTCCATTGCTTTCCGCTTCCGATTCAAAAATTGCCGTTTTATAGTTTGAAGTGAACCCAGTGGCACACTTTTATTTTGAACCACCATAAATGATCTTTGTCTTCCCAACAGTATCATTTCAAGCGGAGTAATTTCGTATCAAGTACCAGAGTTTCATCTTTAGTTTGAGCAAAGATTGTCTTATTTAATGGGCAGTTTCATTACCGGGTACATGCAATAACGTTCCTATAGCCCTAACAGTCCTGAATCCTCCAATTTCAATATGATTTTGCACACCCCCTAGGGAGTTAGGATTAAGAAACAGTTTCTTACAACACGAAACAGCATAACTTAGGGTGGGTTGAACTTAGCAGTGTAAATTGACCGGCTCCACAAAAAGGGTGTTACACTGTTATTTCGGTTGTGTACTATATGAACCAACCTATATGTACTATATGAACCACAATAGGTTGCTCGGTTTATATAGTACACAACCCTTTGATTTTTACACAACCGAAATAACAGTGTAGGTCGCGCTGTGCATTATTGTGTAATGGCCCACCCAACGTTGAGAGGGTAAACATTTCGTCGAAATGAGATTTTCATTTTTTATCACGAATGACATCTTTAATACCTACTGTTTTAGGTTTCATCCACAGAAATGTTGACTTTGATGAATTAAGTGGAAAATGTGATTATTTTGTGTGCATCGTTCTGTTGTTCCACAACAGAGCAAGCTATTTCAAAGCCTGTTTTCTCAGTTGTATAATTTGAACGCCAAGGAAGTAATTAATTAAAATGTAAACACGCCATATCTCCAGAACAGGAGAGACCATGGAGCTCTATTATATATCAAATCAAAGCTTACGCTGTAGGCTTTCCAGCCATGCATATAATTCAATTCCACTTGTTTGCAACATAAAACCCTTTTTTTGTGGAGCCGGTCACAGTTGGGTTGAGTTGGTATTGATCGAGCTGGTTTGGGTTTGAATTTAGGGGTGAGTTGTACTCTGGAAAGCACCATGTTTTTTTTCTTCAGATGGTGGAGACAGCTGGGCTTGTTTGAACATGTTGTTCACGTACAGAGTTTGTAGAGCGTCAACCTATCGAAGTCACACTTCACGGGCGGCACGCAAACCAAACGTAGGCGGTACGGCTGGCCTATACCTTAAAGTTATCTTTTCCCGAACACGCAAGCATATCGCAGATTTGAAAGCGGTTATCCCTTGAGAGCAGAAATAACAATTATCAGAAAATCACAGAATCACAAATGAGATATTTACACAAATAAGATTTTAAGAAAGTGTATT